GACGCCGAGCGCGTTCTCCGTGAGGTCGAGGTGCAGCAGCGACGCGCTCTCGGGGAGGAACTCGGCGAGCGCGATCGCGCCCGGCGGCGCGAGCCCCGTCGCGCTCAGGAAGAGCCGCTTGAGCGCCGTGTTCAGCGTGAACGCCGTGCGCAGCGATTGGATCTGCAGGGGCGTCAGCGGCGGGTTCCACGGCGGGAAGAAGCAAAGAGGGAACGCACCCCCTCGAGCCCCGGCCCCGAGCACGGGTTCCGCGACAGGTCGAGCGTCTCCAGACTCGAATTGTATTTCTGATATGCCAAAGACACGTTAGCCCCGTCGTAAGCTTCCACGTCGAGAAAACGCACCAGTGCCTCCGCAAGGCTCACAAGACACGCCACGTCGAGCTTGTTCTCCGCGAGGTTCAGCACCTTGAGCGTCCGGTTCCGCTTCAGCACCTGCGCGATGTACGTGATGCCCGTCTACCCCACCGCTCAGCCCATGCCCAAAATGATCAGAGGAAGGAAAGGACGTACCCGCAGATCATTCCCCCGCAGATCCAGCGTCCGCAGCGCGCCGACGCGCGGCAGCGCATCCAGCGCGCGCACCTTGTCCAGCAGCGCCGCGCTCGGCCCGTCCCGCTCCCGCTCCTTCTGCGCCTCCCGCTCCCTCTCCCGCTCCCGCTCCCGCTGCGCCGCGTCGTCGCCCGTCCCCGCCCCGGGGACGTGCCGCGCCGTCACGCCCCCGAGCACGCTGCTCGCGACGACCGCGCGCCCCGCCGCCGCCGCCGGCACCGGCGCAGACTGCTGCCGCCGCCTTGGCACGTACGGCGTGTACGTCGTCTGCGCCGCCGTGATCGTCGCCCCCGGGTGCCGCGGCGGCGGCGGGAGCTTGCCCCCTGCCCCTCCTCCTCCCGCTCCCCCTGCCGCCGCCGTCAGCGCCCCCACCGCGCCCCCGCCCCGAGCCCAAACTGCTGCGGCGGCACAACCGGTGACGCGTGCGGGCTCGCGAACAGCCCGCCCTCGAACGTCCCGACCGTCGGCGACGCGGGCCGCGCGCCCGCCCCCGGCGCGTTCAGCACGTCGGGGTAGTCCCGGATCATCAGCGCCAGCGCGACCGCGCCCGTCGGCGAGATGCGGTTGTGCCGCAGCGAGATGTTCCGCAGGCTCGACGTGCGCACCGCGCGTGCTATCATCGCATTCCGTCAGCCTGGTGTGTCGTGCATGCAAGTGATATAGGACGCACAGAGAGTTTCGAGCGCGGCGGCGCGGAGGGCGCAGTCGTCCAGCTTGAGCGAAACGAGCCCGCGGCGCGCACCGGGAACGTGGGGGTCGCCCGCGCGGTCGCGCCCGTCCTTGTCGCGCCCGTCGCGGTCGCGCTCGTCGAGCCCGTAGCCGAGGCCGTAGCGCGCGTCGCCGTGCGCGGGGGGGCCGTAGGGCCCGTCGCGCCGGTCGTCGCGGCTGTCGATTGAGGCCGTATCTGAGACGGAGATGAAGGACGCGGCGGAGGAGGAGGGGCTGCGGGGGTGTTAGCTTGGGTTTGGGGTAGGCGGAGGAAAGAAGAGAAAAAGAGATAGAGGAAGCCCGGTGCGAAGAACGGTGATGAATAGGCGAAAAAGACGGTGTGCCCGAGAGGGGGTGCACAATGGGGTAGGAGGGATAAGAGGCGAGGATCATGGGTAACAGTGCACGGACGTGACGAGGACTGTGGCGAATGACGACAATGGGGACGGCAGGGGGCGAAAGGAGCAGCGAGTACGGGGGCGTGTAGAACGAGACGAGGGGAAGCTCGGAAATATGCGTGTGTAAGAGTGAAAGGAGGGGCGAGCCGACGACAATGGGAGGGGCAGGACAACGGATACATGGAGGGGAAAAGAACGGAATAAAACGAGACATCTGGACGGAACAAAAGGTATAAAAAGACGCACCCAACACCCTGCGCGGGCCCATGCACGTACTCGCCCAGTGCGCCGACGATGCACTCCACCGCCTTCTTGTCGAGCGCGTTCTGCGAGAGGTCGAGGAACTGGAGGGCGTGGGCCTGGGCGTGGTGTTAGTGTTGTGGTGCGGGAGATCGAGTGGAGGAGAGAGGAGGAGAGGACGAGGAAACGACGGGGAAACGACGGGGAAACGACAAGCCGAGCACGTCGTCGCGGAAATCGGTGGAGGTCGGGATGTCACGACGAGCAAGCGCCCACAGCACACCAGATCCTGTCCCACCCCGACTACGATCCCCAGCGCACGCGTCCTGAAATCTGCGAGCACGTCGGGCCCCAGAATGCCTGTACCTCAAACACCGGCAGCGCCGACTTGACGGGGCGCGGGCCCACACTACCGCCTGAGCCAAGCTCGAGCAGCGGGCCCAAAATCCTCGGGCCCGAAATCCTTCACAGCAAGAAAAATCGGAGGTGGGCGCACCCGCACCCGCACACGACCCGCCAAGCCCCAGCGACAAAAGACATCGGGGGCCGAAACGACGCCCACGAACGCCCGTACATCCAACCCTGAAACACGCGCCAGGCTGCGCGGGCCCACACTACCGCCTGAGACGAGCTCGCACACCAGGCCCGAAATCCTCCACAGCACGAAAAATCGGGCGCCGGCGCACACGAGCCGGGCCCGCACCCGCAGCCGCGACGCCCAGCGTCAATCCGCGAGCACGTCGGGCCCCGAAACGCCCAGACATCAAGCACTGCAGCTCCGAGCTCCTACGAGGCCCACGCTACCGCCTCGCGCGCTCCGGGCTCGGAAAACCCCAGTGGAACAACATCCGTCCCGCACCGCAGTCGAGAAATGTAGCGACAAACGCGGCCCACCGCCAGGCGGGGACGCCCACACGCGCCGGGGACTGGTATACCGTCCCGGGAAGGCCCCAGTATGGTCCAACGACGTCCGACAGCGAACGACACAGCATCCATCCTCAGTACGGGCGCTCGGTTTCGCTCCCGCCAGCGGCCAAAAACCACCCTCCACTCCTCCAAAAACCACCCTCCCAAAAAAAAAACGCCAAAAGAAATATAAAAGAAGAAAGAGAAAAACACACCTTCCCCAAATACGCGCCGACGAGGCGCCACGCGGCGCCGCGCAGGCGGCGGTTCGAGGCGAGCGAGAGGAAGGCAAGCGTGCGCGGGATGAGGAGCGCGTGAAGGAGGGGTTTGAGGGTCTGTCGGGATGGAGTTAGCAAAAGAGGGCGGAAGGCGGATAAGACAGAAGAAAAGGAGGAGGCGGGGGGGAAGAAAGACAAGAGAAGACGAGACGAAGAGGTGGAGGGGGGGAATGGGGGGAATGGGAATACGAGAAAGAGAAAGGAAGGTCAACGGAGGGGAGCGATGTGGATATCGATATTAGAGGGGAAATGGGCGCAATACTCGTGTGACGTCGTCGAGAAGCCGCGCAGATGAAGAGGATAAGAAATGAAAGTATGGATGGAGAAGCGGGGCGTCCAGCGGGATCTCGATGGATAGGATCGGGGTGAGTGGGTGGCGTGTATGATATGGATACGAAAAAAAATGCGGGGATGATAACGGGCGAGGACAGGATAAGGAGTAGAGAGGATAAACAGGGCAAAAAAAGGATGTATGAAGGATAAACGCATGGAGGGAGGACATACCAGCTCGTCCAAATCGCACTCGCGGAATACGGCCTTGCGCAGGCCCCACTCGATGCTCAGCACGTCCGCCAGCACGCTCGCGCTCGCAAACGTCAGCTGCACGCCCGAGAAATCAACGCTGCGCGGATGCATCGGCGGCGTGTTCTACCACCCAATTAATCAGCAAAACGAGAAAATAAAATGAAAGAGGAAAAGGAAACGGACCTTGAACGCGGCCATTATCCCGGCGTCGGGGGGCTCCTGGCAGCCCTCGCAGCACTCGCGGTAGAAGCTCTCGACCTTATCCATCGCCCACCACTCGCCCTCGTCCGCGCCCCCGCCCGTCCCCGTGCTGCTCGTCAGCACGCTCGCCGTGTCCGTGCTCCCGCTCCCACCATTAACGCTGTTCGCGCGCACGACCCGCCGCCGGCGCTCCCGTTCCCTTTCTTCGATCGCGCGCTTCTCGTCGCGCAGCGCGGGCGTCGACGGCGGCGCGAGCGACGAGATCGGGTACACGACCGCGATCTCCGGGAGGATGAAGTGCGCGCGCTTGAGCACGCGGGCCTTTTCTCGCTCCTCCTTCTCCTTCTCCCCTCCCTCGCCGCCCTTCCCCGCTCCCCCACCGGTAGTGTGCGCCCCGGAATCGCGGCTGGCGTCCCGCGCGGCAGCGTCGCCCGGGAGGAAGCGGCTGAGGCTGAGGCGCGAGAAGAGCGATGCCTGCACGGGCGGCGGCTTTTTGAGGATGGAGCGGCCCGGGATCGGGATCGTCACCGCGGACGACGACGGCGACGGCGAGGACGGGCCCAGCGCGGGCGAGTGCAGCGACATCCGGGTTCCCTATCCGAACCCTGGTCTGTATCCGAGTCGAATATCCGACCGGGGAGTGTAGCGCCTGAGGCTGGTGTTGGATTCTAGCGTAGCGTCGGTGTCCGTCAGCACAGGCGGACGCAAAAGACCATTAAGGAGCGATTGTTTGGCGGTGGCGTGCGAAATAGACACGCAAATATCAGCTCGCGTGGCGCGCATCAATTGGTTCCTGGTCCGGGGTATTCGCTTCGGCTCGTTCACTCCTTCTGCTTCGTTTACGTCGGAGAAGGGCCACGCGGATCGTTCTGATGAGCTCGATCCCCCGTTACTTGACGCCTGGAGACTACATAGTACTGGACCTCTCCACCAAAACTTCAAAACGGCCACTCTGTCTTTCTCCGGATCCAAATGCACCCAACAAAGAGAGCAAAAGGCCGGACGATAGCAACGTCTCTAGGGTACGCTCGAGTCCAGCGGTTCGCCGAAGTTTGGGCCTCATCGAGTAGCTCTGAGTGTATTTTCCCTGTGAGTTCGACAATAGTCTCACTCCGTGTGACAAGCTGCAACAACCAAGCAACAACGATATTACGACGGTTACTACTTCCCACGCTGCAGAACGGTGAGAGGAAGGCCCGGTGGCGGGTGCCACACCGCGCTGTGTTGGGAACCCTCAATACCGGAGGGACGCTCGTTCGACTCGAGCCTGGGCCGTCAGGTAGGAGGTATAGGAATTTTTTACTCCCAGCACTGGTGGAGGACCACAGCATTCCTACGTTCGGAAATCAGAGGTCGGGATTCGCTCAAGTCTGGGGCTCGTCGAGGAGCGTTGAGCGTATTTTCCCTGAGAGTTCGAAAATAGTCTCGCTCCGTGTGGCAAGTTGCAACAACCGAGCAACAACGATATTACGACAGTTACTACTTCCCGCGCTGCAGAACGGTGAGAGGAAGGCCCGGTGGCGGATGGTCCGCACCTGCATTGATTGTTTGTTTAGTGTTCATCCGCTCAATATCGCAGGGACACTCGTTCGATTCGAGCCCGGGCCGTACGATATCGATCTGAGCAGTCTTTTTGGTTGCGAGCGGAGCTGAGCGTATTGTGCGACACCCCTTCCCTGAGCCTCACTACCTGTGTTAAACAGAACCATTTGCAATATTCGGCTATTGGGATGGGCCTTCACGCGCCTCAGAACGGTGAGAGCAAGGCCCGGTGGCGGATGGTCCGCACTGCATTGATTATACTGCATTGATTATATTGTGTATTTCATCCTCAATATTGCAGGGACGCTCGTTCGATTCGAGCCCGGGCCGTGCATAGAGAAAGAAGTTTTTCATATTTTCTACCAATGGCGGAGAACGATTGCGACTTCTCTAGCGTACGCTCGAGCCCGGCGATTCGCCGAAGTTTGAGCCTCATCGAGTGGAGTTGAGCGTATTATGCGACACCCCTTCCCTGAGCCTCACTACCTGTGTTGAACAGAACCATTTGTGATATTCGACTCTTGTGACTCATGGGTCTTCACGAGCTTCAGAACGTTGAGAGCAAGGTCCGGTGGCGGATGGTCCGCATCTGCATTGACTCTGCACCATATGCAAATCAATATCGCAGGGACGCTCGTTCGATTCGAGGCCGGACCGTTGGCATAAAAGCAGGTATTCTTTTATTATTTGCGAGCAGAGAACAATGACACCTGCCGAGGTTCAGAACCGGGAGAGTAAGGCCCGGTGGTGGATGGTACGCCCCTGCATTGATTATATTGTTTCTCTATTTCAATACCACAGGAGACGTTCGTTCGATTCGAGCCCGGGCTGTACGTATAGAGCAATCTTTTTTTTTGATTTTTTGCGAGCACTGGGGGTGAAGGAATAATCCTAAAACTTTCCTGAGTTTGGAAGTTAGAGGGCAGAGTATTTTGCGCCCGTACAATTTACACCAGCGGTAAAAAAAGCCCCAGGATATATTTATTCGTTGGCGCAGAAGATTTAAGACACTTGTGTGATTCGCATGTTGCGGCAGTGCATACTCTTTTCCCCTCCTCCCCGGGGCCCGGGTGATCATAGATGGTAAATTGGGAGTGGACAATGGGAAATGCTCACTCTGTGCGGCAAAAACGATATTACAACCGTGACTTCACGCACTTCAGGGCAGAGAGAGCAAGGCCCGGTGGCGGATGGTCGGCACCTGCATTGATTGCGCGGAATGCAATAAATTGATATCGCAGGGACGCTCGTTCGATTTGAGGCCGGGCCGTAGAGCTGAGTGATTTATTTTTATTTTTCTGTGGTCCCGGATGCTCCGCCCGTACAGTTTACCCCACAGCCCCCAAAAAAGACCCCGCAAGATATATTCACTCAATATTCGTTCGCGCAAGACACTCGTGAGATTTTAGCACTCCGTATTACCCGACGATTTTCGTCGGTAAATCCTGCAGGGACAGTCGTTCGATTCGAACCCGGGCCGTCAGGTAGGAGGAATATGAATTTTTGATTCCCAGCACTGGTGAAAGACCCCAGCATTCCTACGCTCGGACGTCAGAGGTCCGCTGGTCGGAATTCACTGAAGTTTTAGCCTCGTCGCGCGGAGTTGATGTATTTCCGCCGTGCCGCATTGATTACTGAACACTGATGGGCGGGAAGATACTCTCACTCCGTGTTAAACAATGAATTCACGAGCTTCAAAAGGTTGAGAAGAAGGCCCGGTGGCGGACGGTCCGCACCTGCATTGATTCCGTCGTGTTATTTCATCCCCAATATCGCAGGGACACTCGTTCGATCCGAGCCCGGGCCGTACGATATCGATCTGAGCAGTCTTTTTGGTTGCGAGCACGGAGGAAGATTCCCAGATTCCCAGATTCAGAAGTCAGAGGTAGAGGCCCTGTGGCGGATGGTCTGCACCGGCACAACGTAGCGACTAAGACATTGAACACATGGTGCAGGGACGCTTGTTCGATTCAAGCCTGAATCGTAAGAGGCTCGGAGTGCAACAACTGCGCTTTTCATTTGCGACAGAAGCTTGCTACTTTTCTAGGTGCGGACGTCAGATGAAAAGGCCCGGTCCCGGATGGTACGCACCTGCATTGATTGCGCGATATACAATAAATCAATATCGCAGGGACACTCGTTTGATTCGAGCCCGGGCCGTACAATATCGATCTGAGCCACTGCATTCCCTGACCACCTACACTTAGTTTGATGGATCTGTGTATATTCAGTCTAGGCGAGCATACAGTGGCAGCCAAAAGAAATGAGCGCAGTTGTTTGAGTTCATTTCGGGGTCAAATGACTCCAAATACAATTCTCACATGAACCTTCAGCATATTCATGACTCTCAATAGTGTTTAGTCCATACCTTATCTGTCTCAATTCTGTCTCAATTTCCCAGAATAAAAAGAATGGGTGTTTTCTGAGAAACCGAGTTCGTGGATCCATCTTGTATCCAAAATCTGTGTAGATAGTGTGAAAGTACCTGAAAAATGGATCACAGTGATATATAATTCGATATAGATCAATTGCAATTTGAGCTCACAACAAGGCTCTCAAAGTGCTCATTTTTAGCATTTCTGGGCCACATTGGCTCATTTTTGCTCAAAATGGCCACTTTGAGAGCCTCGTTGTGAGCTTAAATTTCAATGAATGTATATTGAATTATATATGCTTGGGGTCCATTTTTCAAGCACTTTCATCCTATCATCACAAATTTTGGATATGGGATGGATCCACAAACTCGGTCTTTCAGAGAGCCCCTATTATTTTTATTCTGGGAAATTGGGACAGGTGATGTATGGATTCAATGATGTCGAAGGTCATGAATCTGCTCAAGGTTCATGTGGGAATTTCTTTTGAAGCCGTTTGACCCCGAAATGAGCTCAAGCAACCGCGCTCATTTATTTTTGCCGCCACTGTAGGTACCTACATAAACCCTGTGTAGTTTAACTAAACAGAGCTATGCTGAGCTATGCTCATCTAGGCTGGATATACACACACCTAAGGAAATTAAGTGTAGGTGGTCAGGGAATGCAGTGAGCACAGTCTTTTTGGTTGCGAGCACGGAGGAAGATTCCTAGATTCCCAGATTCGGAAGTCAGAAGTAGAGGCCCTGTGGCGGATGGTCCGCACCTGTGTTGTATTAGTTGTATTATTCCATCCTCAATATCGCAGGGGCACTTGTTCGATTCGAGCCCGGGGCATGTTGCAACGTGTATGTATTTTTTTCTTCCCCTGACGAAATTCTGAACGATGGAAAATGGCCGCCCTGCGTATATCCATCGCAATTCGAGCCTAGGCCACCCTGAAGTCCAAAATACCTTTCCTCCCTACCTTGTCCCTACCTACTCGAGTGGACACTCGAAATTCAGTAAACATGAGTTCGAAAATAGTTTCATTGCGTGTGGCAACAACGATATTCCGACCGTGATTTCACGCGGTTCAGAGAGGGGAGACTAAGACCCGGTTGTGGATGATCCGAACCACTCGATTAAATGGGATTGATGGAGTGGATCACTAAGGGTCCAGGACACTCGTTCGAGTGAGCCCGGGTCGTAGACGGCAGCACTGTCTTTCGTAGGTCGGACGTCAGAGGTAGAGGCCCGGTCCGCACTCAGAATTTATACTAGTACCAATGCTAAAAAAAGCTACACAGGATATATTCGTCTGCGCAGAAGACACTATTCGATTCGAGCTTGGGGCGTGTTGCAGCGCCGGTTATTTTTCCCTCCTCCCTCCTCCTTCTTCTTGTCGAAATTCACTAAAGGTGAGACCAAGGCCCCGTGGTTTGTTCGAACATAGGACCACTGCCGGCTTAAGGGGAGTATTGGAGTTACTGCCTCGGACATTCTCGGACACTGCCTTTGGGAATCTCGGGCAATCCGCCAGAGTCAAGCTGTGGAGTATGTACTCTAAGAAGACCGCACCGCCGCCCGAGCGGTGGAGTGATAACTTTGTTTAACTTGTTATGACCTCTTCTCGTAGTACTCACTGCGTTCAAGGCCCGCCTCGCCACAGCACCGCCTCGCCGGACCGAGCCGCACACGTGTGGCGAGGTCACATCAGCCACATGCGGCTAGCTCCGTGGAGCCGCCTCCACACAACTCGCCACCACTAGCCACAGCTCCCCACACCTTGGCGGACCTTGCTGACCTTATACAGGCAGATAGCATCAGCATTCCCATGGTCACCATTGAGTGCAGGAGGCGAAGGAAAATGTGTGCGGCTCCTCTGGCGCTGCGGCACATCCCTGATGCCAAACTTAGATCGGAAAGGTTAAAAGAGATGGATATTATTGGAATGCCAGTAGCTACGGGAATGAGTTGAGGGAGAGAACAGAGAGGCCAGAGGAATGATAATTGAACAGATAAATTGGGGCCATGAGTGGCAGACTGTCACGATTTGACTCCAATCTAATCGCTCCAACACTGATCGATGAGCACGTGACCCCAGCGCTTGTTGCACGAGCGCTTCACGCCGATGGCATAACATGGGAGGACTTTGCTGGCTAAAGATCACACGGCAACGGAACACAATAGTCGTTTCCATGAACTATATTTAGTATTGACACTTGACACTTGACGTCTCCGATCACGATTCGCCTGGTAACCTCATTGTATTATATACTTAGCTACTTAAGTTCACACGGTTCGACAAACAGTATAAGTAGAGTAGCTATTCACTTGTAGTTCTTTAGTCTTTTATTCGATCATCTTTTCGAGATCACTTGC